ATTATGTTTCTTGGAAGAAAGTCCTGAAAGAAGTCCGGGAGATGTGGTTTAGAGAGTTTGAGGTATTTTTGGGTTTTAGTTTTTATGTAAAATGATTTATTCTTTTTTACTTAAGCTAAAAATCTTATATATTATATATCATATGTATTTGAATGCAGAAAGAATTTTGTTGGCTGCCCCAACACAATGATAGAATTAGAAAGAATTTTGTGAAGCGTGGGTCTACTCGGATGCGCGACATATTCACAGATATTTAAAAGCATGGGAAGCGATTATTGTGGATTGGAGAGGTTATATGGGCTGAGTTGAACACTGCTTGGGGCACCGAAGAGTATACTAGGAGGAGGATCAAAATCGACAGAACAGAGCTTCTGATGTTGGGGGCTTGGGTAGTTCACTTCATACTGGCGGCTCGGTTCCACATACTGAGCATAGGCGTCGTTTGGTAACGAATTTTAAATTTTTTTCAAAATTGTTCTTTAATACAAATATTAATTAAATTCTCTTAATTTTAACAGAAAGAGATGCTTGGTAGAGAGCCAAATCCTGTGGAATTGCATAGTCGCACTCATAAGGGACAGGAGGATCAACAATGGATTAATGAGAGAGCAAGAAAAGTCATGTAAGTATATATTTATATGTGCTTAATATTTTTTATTTTTAATTTAATTATTTATATTTATATTCTAATTTCACAGGAGGAATATACACGGCTTCGAGAGACTCATGTCACAGCAGGTGAGGGCTCTTCTGGCGACTCTGTGGAGTTTTCTGAGTATCGCATCTAGTCGCAGGCCGTCGGAGGAATGCAGCATGGTAGAGTTTATGACTTAGGTGCGCAAGCTCAGGCATACGAGGGGATGACCTCCTCTACTGCATCCAGCTTCGCATCCAGTTCTCATGACTCCTTACAAGCTCAACAAATAAGTGCCCTTCAAGCTGAGCTAGAACAAGTAAGGAAATCACAAGCTGATTGGCAAGCTCAGTTGCAAGCACAGGTCCAAATGCAGATGCAGATGCAAGAGCAACAAAATTAGTTGTTGGATGAAATGCGTAGAATGAGGGAGCAGATGAGTGGAAAAGAGGTAGCTCTAGCTGAGGAGGAGTCCACAGAATCAGAGTAGTTCACTTTAGTCATTTGAACTTGTTTATTTATGTGAACATGTGTTAATGAACCATTTGTGATGTTCATAGTTTTTTGATGCTATTGAATAATGTTAACATGGATATTTATGTTTTTGAATGAACATTTATATTTTTGAGTATATGTTAAAGTTTTTTATATCTGTTATGTGTATAAGCTGTTATATGGAAGTGTTTTCGTATAGGTTTGCAGGTGTGGAAATTTGATTGTTGGCTGGGAAGGCAATTTTTTTTGTCAATGCTACAGGTTTCCGGTGGATTTTGAGTCGGAACGTCGACGGAAACGACGATACAACGAATCAGATCGATCAGTCCGGCGTCTTTTTGTACGCCGGAAATTACCGACGCCTGTGCCGGCGTCTCTTTCGTCGGTGATTGCCGAAGAAGGCCTTGCGTCGGAAATCAGTCGTTGCTTATTTACGGTGACATTACGGCGACTTATGCGCCGGTATTTTCCTTCGGATATGTACGACGTAAATTACCGACGCATTCGTCGTCAGAATTATTGAATAAAAATCGACGCCTTTCATGTCGTAATTTGCGCCGGTAATGCGCCGAAAAGTGTGCCAGAATAGTTACCGGCGGATTAGAAATGTCGGTACATATTTTACGACGCATGCCAAACCGGCGGATGAAAATCCGACGGAAAAGCGTCGGAAACCTAGGATTTCCGTAGGATTTAAGCGGTTACCGGCGGATACTGTCCGCCGGTAATAGCGTGTTTTCCTGTAGTGTATGTTGTCATCCCAACACTCAGGTAATAATGAAAGCAAGCTGAAGGTATGAATCTCATCATCAAACAAATTGCTCACAAAATTCAATATCATTAAGATTGAGTTGACCTCATTATTGTGATCAATGATTGAAATTCTTTTTGATATATTGAGATTAAAAAAACTTGCAATATGAAACATATAAATTATTTAAGTATATATATATATATATATATATATATATGTTGGAGAGCACCCTTATGATGCATATGGCTATGATCCCAGCAATGATGTTGAAAAAGATGTCATGCTAAGGGGTCGCAAATGAACCCTAGGCTCGTCTTACTATTAATTCCAACTCTTCTTGGTCAACTGGCTATGCTTTATTCACTGTAGTGCTTGATGAATGTTTCTTTATTATAAACAATCTTCTATCTACATCCTCTAGAACCCAAAGTTTGACCATGAAACTTGAAAATTTTTGTCTTCATATCCTCCATACTCAAATATGAAATCTTATTAAAGCAATGCTTGGTTATAAAATGCAAGAACAAAGATAATACTTTGAGTTAAAAACTAAATGAGGTTGAGAGAATAGTCACAACAAAGATCTCAAAAATAGGATACAAAAATTTATGTGGTTTAATGAAATGCACCTACATCGACAACCACACGAAGATCAAATACTAAGCTTTAAAAGAGGTGCATATAGTGAGATGACTAAAAACACACATTTTCATTAAATAAGCTACTAAACAGTAACAATTATATAACTATTGAATAAAATATTAAGACAAGTGCCATGTAAGATAACAATCTTGCCAGGTTAGAAGATTATTAGCTAGACAAACAAAGGCATCAAGAAGCTCATGCTCTCACAAATGGATGCTTAGAAATGGTAATAGACTGGTGGAAAATATGCTAGATTGGAGGGGGTAAATCATGTAGCTATATGACCGGAAAGCTACAGGCCTTGGTCTATGAGGTAATCTCCCAGCCTCTCCACCACCATATTGCATTGCCCTGGTGTCATGGGCTCATCATAAATGCCAAAAATAATTGCTTGATTGGTCTTCTTAACAGTGACTCCTCCAGAACCCTGTAGCCCAAATAGAATTAATAAAATTAAGAACAAGACAAATTATTGAAAAAATATATATAATAATAATAACTAGGACAAGAATCTAGCCAGATATATGAGATAAATGATTCAAATACCTCATAGTTTGGGACAAAATTTTATATAACACGAGAACCTTAGAACAACCACACTTCCATATTGAAACCTCAAATTTGACCGAAATATTGAGATTCACAACAAAATCCCACTTATCTTTGGGTTCATCAAATTCTCGATAATTTGATCTTGGCAGAATCAAATGTATGTGTTAGATAGTATTTTTTTTTTTTGGGTGTTGGAATTATAATATGCATGCTTCGAGCGACATGCATAATTTTTCCTATAAATTTTTCATTAGAAATTGGAGGCAAGATAATAGCTGGAGATGTTGTAAAGAAATCAAAATATGCTGGAGATCCACTTAAGATTGTCTATGATTTTGATGCATAGTCATGGAAATGCAAACGTAAAAAATACATCAATACTTGAAAAAATATTATACACTCCACAAATTGAATATGTGTGCTGGTGTTTGTATAAAAATTATAATCCATTTTAAATTTTGTACTAAAATAGTAGGAGTAACATTACATTCCTCCAATGTTTATGCTAGCAAATAATGACATGAATAACAAACCTTCATTTTGTATATATTAAAAAATAACAGAAAAGTATTTTAATCTGAAAAATGACAAAAATAATAATAAAACTATTCCTAAGAGTAATGGTATGAATTATACTATTCTTTATCATTCAAAAAAAAAAAAAAATCAAATATTACTTAAAAACGATCAAAAGATGCTAACAAATATAGTCTAGCCAAATTGTGTCCCGGTTTCTCCCAAAAAAATTATGTCCCATCATGTCGGATACCTTTATGATGTCTGACACATATGGTAGATATATTCCAGCTTGTTTGGATACTTTGTAATTTGAAGTATTTATCAAAATAGGTAGCGGAAGTTGAAAGATTCTTTGAAGCTTACGAGGTGAAATTGAAGCAAACAAATGACAAATCTTGATGCATTGAAAATTTAATGGAAAACGTAACTAAGTTTAGTTTATTGGTTGACATTTTTTGCTATCAATTAAGGAATTTTAAATTCAAAGTTTCTGTATATGATGTATGTATAAATTTATTTTAATTGATCTAAATATTTCTCCCAAAAAATCATGAAAACGTTATTCAAATCCACTGAAATTGCTTTTGAGATGTGCAAAAACAATAAAATTCATAAAGGAAAAAAAAAATATTGTGCCAGACAAATTTTAAAACAGACGAAGCCACCGAAACTCCTTACACAACTTTTCAGTATTGTCTGTGATTTGTCTATGGAAAAATCATACCCAAAAAAAAAAAAAGGCTTATCCTGTAAGTACAAAGAAGACATTTTTTTAGTTGAACATTTAAAAGTATTGTCTGTGATTTGTCTATGGAAAAATCATACCCCAAAAAAAAAAGGCTTATCCTGTAAGTACAAAAGAAGACATTTTTTTAGTTGAACATTTAAAGATGTACTAAGTTGTTGTAAGGCAAATACTTACCGCCAATACTTATTGCCAAGAGGCGAAAGTTTTGGGTCTGTGAGAAAGTCTTTGTAAAAGCTAATACAATGAGATCTCGTTTCAATTAGTAAAAAATTTTATATATTCCTGTGAATGAAGAATATTGGATCGGTAATCAGATGCACAAGCTGTTGTACTAAGGTTCAGTTTGATGCCTATAAGACAATATCAAGACGGATAAACAATGTTGATAAAATGCAAGTTTACTTGCATCTCAATGATCCTATTTAAGAGTTCAACACGTATGGCAAGCCATCCCTAATGAAGTGAAGCAAGCATAGAATATGCGACCTTAATACAAAACTTGAAACATCAAGCTGGAACTTGAGGAGCTCGGAGCAAAGGTAATGGGTAATCACGTAGTACAAAATGACTAATACCATAAGAAATGGATTAGAAAAAGCAGCATATGAATTTGACAAAGAGCAAAAATGACATATAACTGCAAACTACTCTTAGGTGGTTTCCTTGACCATTGACAGGAATTATAATAATTGAAACTAATAACACACTATCTGGGTACTTTGTTTTATTGAGTAGCACAATGACATGAAATGCAACAAGCACCAAAGAACATCCGTATTTGCTACCGTGGTAATTAAGCACGCAACTAAATATATGACTGATATTCTGATAACTATAGATTACCAGAGATTTCAAGTCAGTTTAGTCCAATCATTTGTAAAGATTCAAAGGAAGAAAATAAGAGAGCGAATCACCTTCTTTCCACGTATAACAGATCCTGCCTCTCCCTGGATAACCATATATTTGTTGGGCCCAAGAAACAAGCCAGTAGGAGCTAGGGATCCTGGTTCATTGAAATCATTCATAATAGCAGTGATTTCCTGAGGCTTGAACTGCAAAGTAAGAAAAAATTAACGTTGTTCAGCCTAGTCAATGCTAGAAAAATTTTGACATAAATCACCTCAAATTAATTCAACGATAGTTTCTAAAATTTTTCAACAAGAAGATAAGTATAATTATCAAGAAAATAAGTGATTTTTTATTCACTCAAACATATGCTTCGTTTGGGGCGGCTTTCTTCCTGCTTCATAAAATAACTTTCTAGTACAAAAATTAAAATTTTGTGCTAAAAAGCAGTTTTTCGAAACAGGAAGAAAGCCGTCCCAAACGAAGCCTTATTTTCATAGACTTTATAAACAAAAGGTTTTGTTGTTGCATTATTCATAACCAAATAGCCAACCAAGTTCTTTATAAGAATAAGCGCAACAGGTGAGGCCCTCACAAAAGATAAATTTGAAGAGATACAAGAGTTCTGAAATTAAAAATGGAAGCAATCTGTTGCTGAGCACTATTGCAATCTTCCAATAAAAAAAATTCATATAAGCATGCACATATGGAATGAACATTGATAAGGGAGAAATTATTACGTTAGGATGCCGGACGTAGAGCTGAGTCCAGACTCCAAACAAAATATGACGCATGAACTAGTGTATTACTATGTATTAATATGTATTATTGTGTATTTGTAGTGTATTGGTGTGTATAAGTTATGTATTGTTATGTAGTAGGAAGGTTTATATTAGGTGGTTGATTTTATTTTCATTATGTGATTGTGTTTGTTGTAGTTTTTCTTTGGAGTTGTTTCTAGTGGCACCTAGGATTTGTGGGAGAGCTGGCCTACCTCTCGAATAGTTGATCAATTGTATCTTTCATTATTTGTTTAAGCCATACTATTTAGTTCATGCATTTTTCTTCTTATCTACTTGCTGTTTTTACTTTCAAGACACATCAACTAGGTACTAGAGCGAGGTTTTGGAGAGATGAAAAAAAAAAGATGGATGCAATTCTTTGCCTTAACTCAGGAAGGGACTGCTATGAAGTATAGGGAGAGAATTGAGTTGCTGCTAGGATGGTTGAGGGCGGATTTTGGAGGCAGAACTGGATGGAAATTTCATGAAGAGCCTAAAGCACGACATACAGGCGCACCTCCGATTGTTGAGGCCGAAGGGCTTGAAGGAGATGATGGAGCTTGCCCAAATGGCAGAGGATTAGAGACATATGGAGAGGACAAATAGGAGTGGGGTCACAGGAGGCTCCTACAAGAGTGCTTCGACTTCATTGGCATTGAGGACCTAGACGATGTCATTTCAGCGGGAGGCATCGAGGGAGAAGAGTGGGGGAGTTTACCTTGGCGCCAAATTCAAGTGCCTCATAGAGAGAAAGATGCAAGATAAGAGAGAAAAGGGTTTGTGCTTCTGATCATGTGATGAGAAGTATGCACTAGGACATCGGTGCAAAAACTTCACACTCTTGATCTTTATGGTTTGTGATGAGAAAGATATTGAGAGTGAGGAGTTGCAAGAGAAAATAGAAGCAAGAGGTGAGCACCTACACCTTAATATGTCAGAACGGTCCTTTAACTAGGTGGTGGATTTACTCCAAAAGTGAGGGGACATATCAATGAGTGGTCAGTGGTGGTTTTGGTGGATAGCAGGGCTACTCATAACTTCATCTCAAATCAGATTATGGATCAATTGGGATTGAAGTTGGTAGACACAGGTAGATTTGGAGTCATAGTCAGAACAAGGAAGGTGGAGAGGATTAGGGGGATCTACAGCAGGTTGGTGCTGGCACTCACAGGCATACAAATAGTGGAGAATGTTCTTTCTCTGAGTTTGAGGAGCATTGATGTCATCTTAGGGATGAAGTGATTACAGAAAATTGGTAAGATGAAAGTGGACAATAAATCTTTGACTATGGAGATCTAGGTGGAGAGGGAAGAGGGTGGTGCTGCGAGAAGATACCAACCTATGAAAACTATGGTTTCACACAAAACCATGTTCAAAGGGATATAGGGAGTAGGGATGCATTACTTTGTGGAGCTTCAGAGCCTACAGAAGGTCAGAGATTACAAGCCGATAGAGGATAGAGGCCCTTAAGTGTTTAAATTAGCTTTTACAACAGTTTCTATGATTTTTTAGTAGCCTATCAGGTTATCGCCACCTAGGGAGCTCAAGCACACCATTACCTTGAAATATAGAGCTTCTCCTATCAGTGTATAATTGTACCGGTTCCCACATATTCAAAAGGACGATAAAGAGAGGTTCAATACATAAAGAAGGGATTACTGGGCCTAGTGTGAGCCCCTTTTTTAGCCTAGTTCTACTGGTTAGAAAGACGAAGGGCAGTTGGAGATTTTTCATGAATTATAGGGCCCTAAATAAGAAACTATATTGGAAAAGTTTCCTATCCTCATGATTGATGAGTTGTTGGATGAGTTATTTAGTGCAGTCATCTTCTCAAAGATTGACCTGAAGTCGGGGTACCACCAAATCAAAATGAAGTTGGGGGCATATGAACAAGACAACCTTTAGGATTCTTGAAAGTTACTAAGAGTTTTTGGTGATACCTTTCGACCATACCAATGCTCAAACCACTTTTTAGTTCCTCTTGAACCAAGTATTTTAACCAAACCTGAGGAAATTTGTCTTAGAATTTTTTGATGACATCCTAATCTATAGTTGTATGGTGGAAGAGCATGTGTGTCACCGGAGGATTTTGTTGGAAACTTTGAGGGAGCACTAGTTTTATGCTAATCTAAGGAAATGTTCCTTTCCACAGTCACAGATGGAGTACCTAGGACATGTGGTGAGAAAAGCAGGGGTAGCAATAGACCAATCCAAGATTGATACTATGCTGGACTGGCCTTTATCGAAGAAACTGAAGAAGTAAAGAGGGTTCTTAGATCTCATTGAGCACTATCAAAAGTTTGTACAAAGGTATGATATGATAGCATGGACATTGATAGAGTAATTGAAGAAGAATATTTTCAATTAAAGGGAAGAAGCAACACAAACCTTCGAGCAACTAAAGAAAGCCATAACCAGCGTGTCAGTATTAGTACTTCTTGATAACAATAGATCCGTTGTGATGGTGATACATGCATTAAGTTACGGACTAGGGGCAATACTCATTTTGGATCATTGACCAATTTCTTATTTCAACCAGATGCTTACAACCTGGGCAAGCCAGAAGTCCATATACGAGTGAGAGTTAATGGCAATTGTCATAGTCATCCAAAAATGACAATCTTATTAATTGGGTCGATAATTTATCAATAGGACAGACTAGAGGAGTCTAAGGTTTTGACTGAAGTAGAGGATGGTGACTGAGGAGCATTAGAGGTGATTATCCAAGTTACTTGGACATGATTTTAAGGTCCATTATCGCCCAAGATTGGAGAACAAGGTCACAAATGCACTATAGAGAAAGACAGATGAAGCCACTTAGGAGCCATATGAGATGACCAGGAGATAAATCCTATCCTTTAACCTTGAGGACAAGGTGCGTCTTTAGGGGGAAGGAGTATTGCTATGCCCTTGTGAGGACTAGGGGTTCTATTATTCATTATGTAAGGAGGAGGAATTAAGAGGAAACTAATTCGGAAAGGTTTCTTTAGGGAAAAAGGGCTGATTTCATTGTGAGGGAATTATCAAAATTTTATTTAGGGAAAGAAGACTAATTTAATTGCGAGGGAATTAGAACATCATTATTTAGGAAAAGGTGGCTGATTTGAATTCAAATTTGGGAGGGAAGTATGAAGGTTTATATTAGGGTTAATTTGGTAATTTTTTTTTTCATTATGTGATTGTGTTTGTCGTAGTTTTTCTTTGGAGCTTTTTGTAGGGGCACCTAGGGTTTATGGGAGAGCCAATTCACCTCTCGAATAGTAGATCAATTGTGTCTTTCATTATTTATTGTAGAGATAATAAAAAATTAGCCATAATATTTGGTTTATGTATTTTCTTCTTATCTACTTGTTGTTTACTTCTATGACGCATCAAAATCACAAAGCACTTTTACAATAAAATTTGCAATCATTTTGGGTTATACATATGTTATGTAATAATACTAAGAATTGGAACTTGTATATAGGATGCCCAGTGGTTCTATTCTTCAACTGTTTATAAGAGTTCAAATATTTAATTGAAGATTAAGACTTCTAGATTTCTTACAGCTTATAAGATCTCTTCTCATCTCCATTGTGCCTTTGAGTTTGTAATGTATTTTCGCTTGTAAAATTTCTATTTATTAGTGAAATTTCAATCTTTATCACATTTCTACTTGACGAAATTAAATTTTGTGTAGGTAAAAATTCAGTTTACTGCATATAATAAAACAATGGAGCTAATTTAGTTGTGCACATTGATGGGAATCACCAAGTGCCAAATGTGTTGAGGATCATTGTATTTGTGAAGTGTTGCTTTTCTTGTCACTTTTCTTTCTTCTCCGTCTCCTTTCTTCATGTGATATTATAATTACAAGGTTTGTTGGTCATGCCTTTGAGATAATCATGGCAAAGAAGATTCATTTTGCATTTTAAAGATAGTCTGGCTACTTAATTTGCTGGCTTCAATATTGAAACCATTGAATATTTAAACTATATCATAACAGGATTTTACATGGTTACCTAATGGGTAATAAATTCTATTATTTTTATTGTTGACAACATGAATTCTCCAAATGAAAGATTTGGAACATGTGGAGACCTTAATGACATAAAGAGCTTCAGGTGTAATTGTATATTTTGATTTAAATACCAATGAGCATTAAAATGACACCCCAGTTAAAGAATAATGAGATGATCAGTTCAACTCCCACTCATGTAAGAAGTACAATTTGATTTAGTTTGCTTTTTCTTATGAAATGTTTGCTATTATCACAAATTGTTATTAAAAAATTTAGATATGAAAGTTTTTAAAGGCTTGCACAATAAGAAGATAAATAGGAATCAACAATTGTTAACAAATGGATTCATCAGTCACGAAGCTTAACCTAGGCAATCTCTCTATCTTTAAATATTACTTAAAACTTAAAAGCTCTTGTGAAAGAATTTTCCTTTTTATCAGGAGGAGCCTATCTCAAATTATTGTATGAATAGTATAATGCTCATGGATTGATGAGGAAGCGCAATCCTTATATGATGGTAAAAGATTTTAGGTTAAACAACCTATTTTGATTAAGGTTTTGAGTACTCTGTCTTCTTAAGAATACTTGTTTACCAGTTATCTGACAAGCCTAGCTCTATTAGAGAAGGAGAATCTTTATTATCCCTCAATATAAAGAACATTCTGAAAGATTATTTAAGAAAATATCATGGAAATGAAGAAGAATCTTCTTCCAATGTGATAAGGACCAATAACTTATGAGAAATTATCAATGTCATATAATCGATCTGTAATGAAAGAATTTGACAAATCAAATGGGCCAAGCAATATGCTAAGAGTAACTTTGTTTCAAACAGAGAAGATTAGGGAATATGTTTCATCAAATTATTTCATCAATTGATAAATTGACATCTACAAATAGTATGGATTTTTTCACAATCAATCTCAGGAAAATGAATATAAGTTCTTATGAATATATTATCCTTATGTGGGAGTAACATTCATATAGTGGAGACCATGACGCTTAAGAATGTTGGATAATATCCTATCAAACTCAACAGTTGTTCTATATACACAGTATAAAAAATAAAGCCCTACAATGGAGTGGATTTTCGCAACAATTTTATTTGGTTTAAATGGTGTTAATTTATTTATAATATATCTTGCTAGAAAGTGCATGTTGTGCATATTGGCCAAAGAGCTCAATATTTATTTTGTTCTCAAGGTTTCTTTTGACATAAAAAAAGGTCGTACATTTATCTAGCATCTGAGGGAATTCAAGTACAACCCTTAGCGTGTAGTTGAAACACATGGTTTTATTGTAGACATAACTAAACTTTGATGTATTTTCTTAGAATGCCATTATCACACTTGTGGCAATATGGAATAGAGGTTAGAATGATCTAAATTCTTGTGATCTATGCAAATCTTAGGATGATAGGATCTATGATTTGCTAGCTTTGGTGGTGTGATATATGGTAGCAATAAAAAGAGGTGCTGCTTAGGGTCTCTAAGATAATTCAATGTTTTAGATTCTTACATAATATACCCTTGTGGCTTAGATTTTTGATTTATTTTTTCTTTTAGTTCTAATTTATTCCTCATCAGCATACCCTTTTGACTGCTTAAGATTTCATTGGTAATTTTAGATACTTCATTGATGCCTTTAAGGGGAAGAGTTCATGTGAGGTAAACTTGATTATGAGATCAATTTTAAGACTTCTGCTTTGTGTTGTGAGAGGGTGTACCTTATTTTTTAAAGGGTTGTTAGTGCCCCTTCGTTATGTACACCATTTGTCTCTTTTAGATTTGATAATAGATAAGAAACGCTCTTCTTTACAATTGACATAAGCTTGTTTGAAGCCAAAGATTTCTTATTTGTGTTGTGATTTCTATTTCTATTATATTTTACTTAACGACACACTTTTTTTATTTTAGTGACTATTGTGCATCAATTCATTTAGTAACCCCATTCCAAATCTAATATTAGAGCATGTTTAGGTCATAGAGTTAGAGTTTGAGATGCCAAATGGTTTCAAATTAGAGAGAATCAAGAATCTTGAAGCAATCCAATTGTGCTAAGTAAATCTTTATGAAAATAGGCAGTGAAATGTTGCGGCCCTTGTTTGTGTGCTGCATCTTATGAAAGCTATAAATGTATGATTTTTTGGCTATAAGAAAATTTATAAAACTAAATGTGGCACAAGATGATAAAGAAATTCAAGAGATAATTAAACAACATAATTGATCTTGGTGTCGGGTCATGCCATTGTATAATTTAAGTCGAAGAGAGAGCTATCTTGGAAGTACGAAAAATTTTTCATTGTTCCATTTTTAGTAATTATTGATCTGGTAAGAACCGGGCCTATCCAGTTCAACTGAACCAGACCTCTATTAATAGACACACACACAGGAGCAGAATAGTAGGCAAACCAAGCCAAGCGGATGCACGCGGGAGCAGGAAGGGCTGGCGAGGTCGGATCACTGGTTTAAGTGGAGAATGACGTATGAGAGTAAAAAGTAATGAATCCTCATGCGAGATATCTTTGTTTCACTTTGTCCAGTTAGGCCAATTGAACAAAAGGAGCGAACAGAGACCAACCGAGAGGAAGAAGGAAAAAGAAGGTAGGTTTTTCAATTTTGTTCATTTTGGTATAGATTCTTTTGTGACATTTAACTTAGATATTATAATGGGTTCTCATTACTTTTTTTTTTTTTCATTTATAACTTTTTTCTATTGCCTATATATAACACTATCGTATGAATATAGTATTCACTGTAATAAGGGCATTTGTAATTTTAATATTTCAAAAAATATTTAAAATGATATGTTAAAAAAAGTCGATGATGAGATTACTAAAATTATGCAACTTTTATATAATAAAATTTGGTCGAGCATAATTTTAATACCTTATGAAATTTTTACATTTAAAATATGACAAAATAAATTTATTCTATGCAAATGTTCATATAATCCCTTGCACTAGACGTGCGTGTGCAACTTCATCAAGATTTGTAATAACTTGTCCAAGGTTATGGCATTAAATTGGAGGTTGAAATTGACAAAATTCAAGGTAAACTACGTTTGGCGCATTCTAACGTCAGAACTTGCGTATACTGATTTAAAACTAATATTATTTTCCAAACCTAAACTTTATACGATCCACCATCTTGCAAAACAGGAAACAGAAATAGTTGTGTATGAACCCTTCTTCTCCCTTCAAATCAAATTAAAGGAGCGGATACAATTCTCTTTTCACAGATCGAACGCAAATCAGAAAACAAAATCGCACCCATCCAATCACAAAAGATATAAGCCGATAGCGATATCCAAACAAAACAATCCCTAATTTAGGCGAACTTAACTTAAGAAAATAAAAAAAACATTCAAACAGCACAGATCTCAAATCTGACTTTAGATCAGTGCATAAATTTGTTAAGACACAGCACATTTGATCAAACTACAGAGAATGCTGGAATTGGATTCAATATTCTCACCTGCGGGAAGGAATCGCTCTTGGCCCACACGTTGCCATCGTGGCCGACGATCGCCGCCGCGGAGAGGTGGTGACCGTCAATGTCGCACATCAGATGCTCATCAACATACGTTTGCCAAGACATTTTCGCTATCTTCCTCAATTCCTATTGTTCTCTCCTCTCCTCTTTCCTTCTCTCTCGCTGCTCTTCCTCTAAATTTTGAATTTGGAGCAATTAATATAAATATTAGTACGGAGAAAAAACCGGATCTCAGGCGCTACTCCGCCGCTCACGAAGTCACATTAGATTAGAGCCCTTCGCGTCCGATCTTTTTAGTATTTTCTTTTAATTAATGAAATGTGAAATTCTCTACCCATTGGCTTGGTAAGAGTTAGGAATCCGGCCCAACGGAAGAGCAACAGTTTCCTATTTCTGGTTGCCGGTCTATGGACCGGTGGCGGATTGTCCGTTACCGTTAGGCCGTAGCGCGCCAAATTCGTTGTGGTGGGGCCCACGACCGCATTAACGGGTTTCCTTAGTTTGTCAGATTCAAAATTAATTTGAAAATGATCTAATCCGTTAACATTTAGATAACCTTAACACATTTATAAATTTATCTATATCCAAACTTTTAAAGTCGATCTTCATTGAATTATGTATGTAATCTGGATTGATCGGAATATTTGAACACATGAATATAAGTAAGGATAAATTGAAAATGAGGCTTTTATGATGTTTTTATTATTATTATTATTATTATTATTTATACTTTGACTGAATATAGTTTGAATTTGGTTAGGGGTCAACAGGGAGGATTTTGATTTTATATGAAATTATTTTGATCTAAATTGATTCAACTTGAAGTCGGCTTGTTTAAAAAACAATTTAAAAATTTGAACAAGAACCGAACCCATTAGCCATCCGAATTCGACATAATAACTTGATTTTATTAAAAAAAAAGGTTATTCATATATTTTAGGTTAATTGATAATTAATAAGAATATTATAAAAAAAATAAAAGATTATAAGGAAAAATAAATAAGCAGGTTTTTTTCTGATTAAAATTGCGTTGACGGGTCAAGTCAAACCAAACCTGTTTATTAAACGGGTCAACTTCAATCTATGTTTTTTGAATTGGATCTGGGCCAGGTTTTTGGGTCGGGTCTTTAATTAACACCCCTAAGTTTGATTATGAGGAGATTGATGTAAGCTTATTATCAATGCTTTTGGATGTATAATTCAATTAGTCTAGCTGGATGTGGAGTTGCCTTCAATGTAAGGATTAAAGTGAATGATATTTGTTCCCAATTATGATATTTTCATTTATGTTCTACCACACAATAGTACAAAAGTTCATCATTAAAGTGATTTTTTTTTTGTTGAGTTGTAAATTGGCTTGTGCTAGGAGCTTGGTGCCGTTAGAAAATAAGAAGTAGGATGATGAGCTTGTTGCATGCAGATATCGGCTTAGAACAAGCAGTTCGATTATATTTTTGAATCCTATCGATGCAGGGTATCATAGGCAATGTCGTCATCTTCATCATCTTATTATTTTTATTTTTATTTCTAGGGGTGTGGGGGAGGGGGATGGGGGTGTTGAAGAATAAGGGCTAAGCCCAACTTCATTATGAAAAGAAATTATGAGCCAAAAGGTAAAACAAAAATAACAATTCAAAAGAGAAGAAGGAGAAAACCCAAAGCTCAAAAAAGTAATTAAGTGCCACCAAAATATGAGAAACAACACAAACCAATATAATTTCAAAGGGGGCAATTGCAATTAGCCCAACTAAGACTCAAAATGCCCCAAACGTAAACAAAGAAACCCCGCCTACTATGATTACATTAAACATTCAATAAGCATAGTTCCCTGGTTGCCAAAGGGACATCCAAGATGTAGGGTACTGGTTGCCACCTCACTGCTCCAAGGGACCACTTGGAGAACGAAGAACATTCATCATTATCTCCATTAAGCTCAAACCTTTATGTAAGCAAAAACCTTCTGCAAAGCAGGAATAACCAAATAGAAGGAAACGAAAGCAAGTAGCTGCCCACCAGCGAAAAGGAATACCAACAGTAGCATCAAAATATTCTTGAGTTAAGACATTAAGAAGAAAGAAAACCATGAAAAAAATAACAAACAACTAAGCCCCAGGTATAAGAAACAGTCAGCCAATAAATTACGTGATATCTCTCTTATCCTTCCAACTAGCCATTTTAAAGAGATTTAACTTTCTAATTTTATGACAAATAGTGGAAATAATAGATATATTATTTTAAATTTTACTCTCGTTTCTTTATCTCCTTAAAAATTATATAGAGCAACAAATTGTCAGATAAAGTAGTCCTTTGCTGGTGTTAGAAAAGGCATAAGTTTCACTTATGTGATGGAAATGTTGCAGCAAGGTAGGCCTAAATAGAAATATATATAACTGTGGAATTAAAGTAGTAATAACAGAGAAGGAGAATTTTCTTACCTAATTTTTTAGTGAGGTCAATTTCCTACATCAAAGACTCAACATCTTCACATCAATCATTGAACTACATTCCAAACCTCAAATCAAACTCATCACTGTGCTTTGGCATGATGACCTGATCATTAACCTATAAAGTCATCACTTGATAGTTTTTCTTGATTGTAATTTGATCATCTGATCAATCACTTGATAATCCCCAAATGATTGTCAATAATATGATCATTTCAAAACCAAAACTTCTTCAATCATTAATTTTTGTTGATTAACTCTAATCTCAAATCAAAACCAAACTTTAGATCCATCGGTTGATAATCACCACTGATAGTTATCTGATCACCTGTATAATTATTGATAGTCATTATTAATTATCAATAATTTGAGCATTTCAAACCAAAACATACTCTTAATTATTGAACAAATCAAACCTAAAAAAAACTTATTGATCAAACCACTGAAAATTCAAAACTCCAAAATCCAGTGTTAAAACTAACCAAGACCCCTTTGGTGCATAACCTATTTTTGGAGAATTTCTAAACATCTCAAAACCTAACCAAAATGACCTTAGATTCATATTTAGTCACTTACAAATTGACTAGGCATGTCCCTTGGGTCAACCAGATTAATTTGGAGGCATCCCAAGTTCTCCAAACCCTTAAACTCAAAGCATTTTCTAAGATTACAAAACCTTTAAATATTTATAGCTTATGCTACCGAATATGACGTATTATGGAAATTGACCTTGCAAGCCTTCCAAAACTCATTGATCTTGATCATTGTCATTAGCATGATTCATTGAGCCAACATTGAGCCTTGAGTAGGCCTTGGTTGACTATGGCGCCATTAAAACTCTAAAACCCTAAAACCATAGAGATTGATTTTTCTAAAAACTTTAACATGGCACAATAAAAAAAAATCTTGAAACCACTTCCAACATATCCAAAATATGATTTAGAGTAAATTATACCAAAACCCAAGCCATGGTCAACCTTGGCTGATTAAGTCATCCTAGGTTGATCAAATCACCCCTTTAGCCTTTAAATCTACATTTCATGTATGGAGACTCCACTAAACCTTTAGATCACCTCTAGTAAACTCAAAACTAAATTTGGAAAGCATAGAACCCAAGTCCAACCTTTATTCTACCCTAGTTGACCAAAGTATCCTTAAGGCATTCAAACATGTAACTCATACAAGAAGATCTCTCCATGTCTTGGGACCCCTTCCATTAAATGTAAAAAATTATTTAAAATTGTTTGGAACAAAATCTAACCCATGGTTCAACCTAGTCAACCAAGTCAATTGTGATGTCCTATAATCTAATTTAGAAGAACAATTATTTTATATTTTAATAAAAAAAATGAGCTACTTAATATTATTTATCAAAAAATAAACAATAAAATAATTCTAGAATTCAAAACACATGTATTCATTTCTAAAAAATTATAATGCTACTCAAGGTTTATATAATTGCACCACAACTACTATGTCGTTAGTATAAAAGAATAGCTAAAATAAAAAGAAACAAAACCTGAATAATCCTTATCAGCCTCACACTCTTGATCCTCTACCCTGCCATGAAATCATTTAACCACATATAATTTGTTAAAAAACCCGCACCAAAATCTATAACTAAATTTAAAGCATGGTAGATCAATATGGATATCAGATATCAAATCATTGCAATAGCATTAATATGATCATCGATACGTGCAAAAATAGTGAAAATCATATGCATTAGTTGTAAAATCTATAAACATTAAAAAGGTACAATACAAAAACTAATAAATTAGTACGAGTGTCAAATCTATAAATCAATCTTCATATCACTATTATCAATCAGTAGAGAGATCATATAAAGCAGTAAAAGCAAATCATTGATGTGATGAGGATTGTCAAAATTATATAAAGGAAGTAAAAACATATCGAAGTATACATATGCTATCTAATTATTTTATATAAGTATTTAATTAGCATATTATTCACATGATAAATGTATATATCATATTTTTTGTATCAATAAATCAATAACATTGTTAATAATAATTATGCACAATAAATATAAATAATTCCACAATAATATTCTTTTTAGTAGTCACACTAAATAAGTAAGAATTCTGGCTACCATGATGTTTTTTTAGTATCATATTCACTACAAGAAAATGAGTCAATAGCGACAAAAAAATTTTGGTCGCTAAAGATATCTTTTAGCGACCAAAAGTAAGTATGGCCTCTAAATAATAAGGAATCTTGATATTAGCTACCAAAAAGGAAAATTGGCTCCTAATTTTGTCGCTTAAAGTCTAAGATTTATTTTTCACAAATATATACATGCCATTTTAGTGACTAATTATTCTTTTTAATTGTGTACATAATAAAATTTTAAAATATCATTAACCTTTTATATAATGACATTTATTCCTTAAAGTAAATTTAGGTTAATGTATGGATGATTTATTTTGAAAAAAATAAAGTGATGTAATTGATTAATCATTCAATTTGTATAAAATATATGTTGTAGTTTCCCTTAAATTGGCTCGACCCTTATTTGATTAGATCCTTGACCGTCGTATGCTTTGTAGTGCCCCTTGACGGGGTTCGACCTGCCCGGTCAGGTCGCAGGGTCAAGGGGCAGCACCCCTGCGGGGGTTTTTCAGGGGCAGCGCCCCCGGAACAAATTTTTCTTATAAGAATATCTTTAAAATTAAAA